TGTGACGCAAGCATTCCCAATACGCTCCCCGAGCGCTGACGCGTCAACGGTACGGAAAAAATAATCGCATACCGGACAGTGCACGCGCGCCATCTATCCAGCGATTAGTAAATGGCGAACCCCATTAGAAATGCACATGCTATTGGAAAAAACGGCAGGTCCTACACCGATTACGTCAAGCTGTGCCAGCTTGACAAGGCCAAGGGGTTAGATGTCGGGAACTTACCTCACCGACAATGCCTGCCAGAGGTTCATTACGGCGTAGCCGATACAAGGCGCCGGGAACAGTTTGTAGCTATAAATGAGGCCAAATTCCTTGCTGTGTTAAGTGACGGATCCACAGATTCCTCATCAAAGGAGGCCGACATTTTATTTTCGAATTAAAATTTTATTTAATTAAAATTTTAATCTTATGATCCATATCAAAGTTACATGTGTTTTATACAATTGAATGTCTTTTACAAAACCTTTCTGGGGGACACCCCTTGTACCCTGGGAGAGACCCCCTGTACCCCCTAGCAGAAGGGGGCTCCACCCCCTACCCCACCTACCTCCTGGCAAATCACAATACTCGTCGCTCTGTGCCTAGTAAGAGTCCTTCAGCAGGACTAGTAGAATCTTGGAAGTACTAGTACATTTCTTCTTTTACTAGTCCCGTGGACTAATGAACTAAAATGGTTAGTGTCTAACCCTGAAGTATATGATTTTAATTTGCAGAGCTAGCTAGATACTATACTATAGCTAGATACTAATAGAGATACATTAGATTGACATGTCGGCCCAAGCCTAGTTAAGCACCCTGGATTACTTTAGCACATATGCGAACACACATTTGCGGGATCCCAAACTATCCTTGATACAACATGTCAATGATATTTAAGCAATTTTAAGAGCAAAGCATTTAGTGACGCCGCTAATGTTATTGTTAGCGAACTTTTATACATTTTTAATAGGCTGTATTTATTAGGATAATAAGTTGTGTTTTGTTGACTCTGCATTTCATTGTAGATGAAAGTAATTAACCCAAACAAGTTAATATATATTTTGTGAGAAAAGATGCAAAACCTGTTGTTTGCGTAGACAGATGTGAGGCATTTTCCTATACTTTACTTAATATTAGAAATTCTTTGAATAATGTGTAATGAAGAAAGCAGGTTTTATGTAAAAAAATATCTATTGTTATTCAGCACTGGCAGAGATACTAAACATCAAGAGAGACACTGAAGATGGCATTGCGTCATTCTACGTCCATTATGTTGCTTGTAAGTGTATTTTGTGTCACAACTGAGATGAATAGGCATTTACTTACTTATTGTTGGTTGATTATTCGTAATATTACCAATATATAATGCATTGTTGACTCACATCATTTAATTTTTCATATTATGTTTGATGTTATCTACGTTATTATCATACACGTGTTTTCATTTGCAGATAATAAGCGGTTGGATGAGTGGGTGGCAGATGCTCGACTCGATTATGACAAGATGCAAATGCCTAGTGCTGTTAAAGCTAGAGAAAAAGGAGCTGATGCCAAGAGCCTTAATGGTTCTAGACCGCCATCTCCTGAAATGGTAGGAGTCTGAAATGATATGCTTGTACATGTTGTATTAGTTTCAAAAGAGCATGAATGTCGCATTCTTTATTTAGATTTATATGCATAGTATTAATTGTGAAGTGAATCATAAAAGCAGTTTATCAGTAAGAATAGCTTGGGGTATTTGCCTTGAATAAATTAGGATGGTATAGAAAAGTAAAAGTAAGGAGTCGTGTACAGCTAAAGATTTGCATCTGACAAACCTTGAATATTTTCATCTCAGAAACCAGCGACACCACGGCCTCCGGCGCCACCACGAATCGAGAAAGTGCCAATAGTTGAGAAAATAAAAACTGAGATTAAAGTTGAGGTAGGACTGATCTTATCGTATCGTACAACTGCAAATTTGCTCCATATGGTTGTGTGAAAACTTTGTTATCTAGACTGCCTTATTTGCTAATATTGCTTTAAATGAAATTTAAAGGGAGAGTTTACTTTAGGTTCTAGGGTTATTTCCAGCTAATTTAGGTTAAAATTATGCTACATAAAAAGTTTCATGGTTCAATCACCATTAGAAATATTAAAATTTTTTTTTAAACTAACGACTAGTTTGATTACAACGACGGAGGCGCCACTCAAAGCGCCCGATCTGATAAGTTGCGCAAAACGACTTTTCAGCCAAGGGCTACAGACCGAGGGTGTTTCTTATTTGTTTATTTAAAAGCAAAAGGATTGTAATATCTTATAAACGACATATAGTTTCAGTTATAATATGGATAAATTTGCCATAAAATGAATATCGTTCGGTTAAATAGCATTGAGGTATAAATATAATTGCACTTTTGTGATTAGCCCTCGGTCTGTAACCTGCAAAATAAATTGTCAAATACGCAACTTTTTCTGGGTGGCAGCACGGTCGCGGGTGTCATGGCGCCGTTCAAATTTTGTAGCGTTGATGTGTAAATAATTATAACAATTAAATTAGGTATCTGGTAACAAATACGTGTGGGTA